ATGTTTATTGATTCATTTCATTAAAACAACTTAAAGTGAATATAATTAAAATACAACTCATAAATAAATGACAGGCAGCAGAAGAAGACAAAATCTTATATTATTAATCTGAACACTAAAGTATGACTCAATCTTACCATCAAAATCTATTTTTCCATCTTTGTTTGTGTCAGATTCTCCAAACATCTCATCAATGTCTTCCTCTGTGACCTGCTCTCCGGTCATATGGAGGATGTCTCCAAACTCCTCCCGGTCAATAAAACCATCTCCGTTCCTGTAGATAAAAAAAAAAACAACACTTCATATTTTAATTTTTGACTTTGTTTTGCTTCACTTCAAAAACACGTTTGAATTAAAAAGAAAAGGCGACAATTTGAAAAGTTTAAGGCAATTTTTTTGATCAAAACCTAAAATGACTGTAGGAATTTATCGCAGCCCTGATGTTATGTTTGAATAACAATAAAGAGAACTTTGATTCTGATTCTGAAATATATAGTTTTACTACAAACAATGAGTGACTAAAGAATAAAACAGACGTGAAATGATTTTTCCTGGAAGTAAAAACTTTCCAGCATCACATGCAAATGTTGAGCCCGTTCTTAGTTAAACGTAATTATGGTAAACCTTTGTGTTTATTTGTAACAATGAAACGTTTATTAGTATTTAATATGGTTAATTTTTGTGCTAACGGCGTACTTGTCAAAAATACGGAAGCATTCTGAAAGCTCCTCTTCGCTCTTTCCAGCCTGGTCCTCTTTCAGCTGTTGGACCATCATGACCAGGAACTCCTCGAAGTCGATGGTGCCGCTGCCTGAGGACAGAGGGAGTCAGAGTTTTACCTCCGCASAAATACATTTCTCATTTTTTTCTTTTTACCATTTTATATTTTAAGGCAGCTGTGTTGAAAACAGTTACGTGTGGGGAAAAATTAAAAACGGTTTTAGCCGAGGACTAACCTCAGTGTTGTATAAAGTACCTCAAAGTGATACTTGAGTAAAAGTAAAAGTAACTCATCATAAAATAATGTACAATTTGTGTTTAGGGAAAATGGGCTT